GAGGAGGAGGAGGACGACGACGAGGAGGAGAAGGAGGAGGAGGAGAGGTTGGAGGAAGAGAAGGAGGAGGAGGAGGAGGAGAAGGAGAAGGAGAACGAGGAAGAGGGAGGGAGGAGGAAGAGGAGGAGGAGGAGGTGGACTTGGAGGAGGTGGAGGTGTGGTGGCGGTGGTGGTGCTGAATTCTGGTTTGCTCCTCCGAGGGCGCCGGGGGCCGTGGCCGGTCGGGAGAACCTGCACGAGGCGTACGCGTCCGTCCCCCACGCCGGCGGCGCGCCAACTGGGGGGCCGCGTCGAGGGGTCGGCGCGCCGTTCGAGAGGGCAGGTTGGCCACGCGCAGAGGGGGGGCTCGTCTTCCCTTCTTTTGGACCTCCTGGGCGCCCCTCGTCGCCGCAGCTGGATTCGCGTCGACATTGTAGTCAGAGCACATCCCAGGAGAGGTCGGGGACCCAGACCCCCTCGAGTCATGAAAACATCACGACGGAAGGTTTTTCATTGTTTTCGGCCTCTATGGGTCCTTGCCGGCCCTCGTGACTGTCAACAGAACGACTCAGGATGAACAACCGGTCCCGGCCCTCTGGGGCCGCATCATGTAAAAATCATGGCGTCGGGGGTCTGGGGATGGCGGTATCAGTAGCTTTTGGGTTCCCCAGTCCAGCCGCGCGCTGAGGGGGGTGCAGTCCTAGAGCTCCCGACCCCTGCCGCGGGGCAGTCTTTCGTCCCGGGGTGTTCTTTTATGGTCCTGGGACCCGACGACGGGCCATGGAGGCCGAAATTGAGGGCAAATTGCAGAGTGTGGCTGCTGAGAGGCCCCCTCCCCAGGGCCCCGACGTCATTAGTTTTTTCCCATCCATCCTGTGGTGTTAGTCCTCGTTTTGAAGAGACAGCGCCCCGCGTCACTCCTCCCGCTGCCCCCTTCCGTGCCTCTCCTCCCAACCCTGCTTCTGTTCTCTGCATGTCCATTTCGGCACCCCCCTCACACGGTTCGTGGCCCCATGGGGAGCCCCACCGAAGGCCCCATTGGCAGGGTCCGCATGGCGCCGCCGCCCCATTTCGGCACATCCCTCACACGATTCGTGGCTCCATCCCAGTGACAGAGTCCGCATGGCGCCGCCGTTCCGTTTCGGCGCACCCTTCACACGGTTCGCGGCCCCATAGGGAGCCCCACCGAAGGCCCCAGTGGTAGGGTCCGCATGGCGCCGCCGCCCCATTTCGGCACACCCCTCACACGTTTCGTGGCCCCATAGGGAGCTCCACCGAAGGCCCCAGTGACAGAGTCCGCATGGCGCCGCCGCCCCATTTCGGCACACCCCTCACACGGTTCGTGGCCCCATCCCAGTGGCAGAGTCCGCGTGGCGCCACCGTTCCGTTTCGGCACACCCCTCACACGTTTCGTGGCCCCATAGGAAGCTCTACCGAAGGCCCCAGTGGCAGAGTCCGCATGGCGCCGCCGCACCATGTCGGCACGCACCTCACATGGTCCGTGGCCTCATAGGGAGTTCCACCGAAGGCCCCAGTGGCACCGTCCACATGCGTCCCTCCCGCCCATTTCGGCACACCATTTACGCGTTTCGCGGCCCCATAGGGAGCATCACTGAAGGCCCCAGCGCCACCGTCCACATGCGTCCCCCCCACGTATTTCGGCACACCCCTCACACGTTTCGTGGCCCCATAGGAAGCTCCACCGAAGATGATGTTCACAACTGCGTTACTCACAACTGCTTATGGTTGGGTCTTTCGCCAGGCTAATTCATGACGTGGACCCCCGGAGGTCATGTCGACCCGCTCATTCCACTGGACCATTTCTTCGTCCTGAGCCGTTCCATGATGGTCCAGGGGCCCGGTAAGGGTTTTAGAGCCAGAAGACAACAAAAAACCAACGACCGACCACAGTGTTGTTTGGCTTTGTGTGGACCTTTGTTTCGTTTTTCGTTTCGTTGTTTGCTTTTGTTTCGTTTCGTTTTCGCTGTTGTTGTTCAACGCCTCGTTTCGGTGTTCATGTCGTTTGGCACTGGTTTTGTTTCCAACGCTCGTTTTGAACGGTGGGCGTCCTCTCGAGTTTCGTTCTAAACGCGATTTCTTGTTAACCATCCCTGTGGTCCGTGCTTTCCCAAAAAATCCTCCGTCTTGGTTTTGTCCATGGCCGAGGGGCTTTGGGTGTCCCCCGCCCTCTCGGAACGGCCGCCGCCTCCCTCGAAGCCACCCGCGCGGTGCCCGCCGCCGGTGAGGCGCTCTTGCTCCAGGCCCGGCGGGGTGGGAGAAGTGTGCGCGTGGGCGCGCGCTCCGACCCCCATCAGGCAGAAGGGCCGCGGCACGATCGACACGGGCAGGTGAAGAGCAGGGACCCATGTAGCCTCAGGAGGTCTCTCATGCTGAGGGGGAGGGCCCCACCCCCTATGCTCTTGGTTGGGAGTAAAGCTCAGCTTACCCCTCCTCGTTCTCCTCCTCGTCCTCCTCCTCCTCCCCCTTCGCCTCATCCTCCTCCAAGTCGCATTCGTAGTTT